ACAATTTCAATCACGCTGGAACAATGGGGCGCGCCATTCACGGAACGCTGTCTTTCAAAGTTTCATGACACAGATTGAGTCCCCTCCAAATCTAATTAGAGGCTGAGGCTCGTGAGAGTATTGGTATCAGCATCAGAGTGACTTGGAAAAGCTACGTAGCGATGGATGTTTTCACTGCGGTGTGATTTGTTTAAAATCAATCTAGACATTGAAGAGCCACCCCCCGGCCCTGGCCAATGTGGCTCAGTTGGTTGGAGCGTCATCCTGTGTGCACCCAAAGGTCCCCGGTCAAGACTCGTGTCCCGCCCTGGCCGGTTTGGCTCAGCAGTTAGAGCGTCGGCCTGCGGTCCGGAGAGACCCGGGTTCGGTTCCCGCTAAGGGCACGTACCTCGGTTGCAGTTTGTCCCCGGCCCTGGTTGGTCGTGCGGGTGGCAGCCACTCGATGTGTCCCTTTCACGTCGATGTTTCTCTCTCTCTCTCTCTTCCTCCCACTCTATCTGTGCAAAAAATGGAAAGAAAAAAAAAATGTCCTCGGGTGAGGATGAAAAAAAAAAAAAAGACTCGTGCCCAGTTGTGGGCTCGATGTCCAGTAGGGGGCAGGCAGGAGGCAGCTGATGGATGTTTCTCTCTCTCCCTCAAATCCATTTTTTTTTTTAATCCTCACCAGAGGACATTTTTGCATTTATTTTCAGATAGAGCAGGAGGGAGAGAGGAAGACAGAAAGAGAAACATCGATGCAAGAGAGACACATGGACTGGCTGCCAACCACATGATCCCAACCAGGGCCGGGGGACAAAATGCAACCAAGGTACGTGCCCTTAGTGGGAACCGAACTCAGGACTCTCTGGTCCACAGGCCAACGCTCTAACTGCTGAGCCAAACCGGCCAGAGTGCAAATCAGTTTCTTAACGAATGAATGAATCACGTCAAGGCCTTAGAACGTGTGTGGTGGTGCTGGGCAGCCAGCCTGTGCGAGCCCTTACGACGATTTCAAGAGAAGCTGTGAAATCTCCCAATTTCTAAACTGGACCCAAACAATGAAACCGGATGGGAGCCGAGCAAGGCCCACGAGCAGCCCAGATCTGAACCCTTGGCCATGAGCCCCAGACGTCTGCTCCACATTGCCAAGTTGGCGTTTCCTGGTGGTCCCATTTGTCAGATGGGCAAGCTGAGGCCTCGAGTGGTTGAGACACGTGCCCAGTGTGGCCCAGCTGGTTGAGCCAGGACTTGAACCCAGCCGGCTCTGGAGCCAGGCCCCTCAGGCTGTGCTTCCCACGGATGAATGGCGATCACCCCGAGACACAACGGACTTCTCCGGTCCCCAGCGTTCCTGGGCCACACCAGACCCTCTACGTAAACTTCCAAAGCCCTGCTTTTTTTTAATCCTCACCCGAGGATATCTTTCCATTTATCTTCAGACAGAGTGTGAGGAAGAGAGGGAGACAGAGAGAGAAACATCAACGTGAGAGAGACACATCGATTGGCTGCCTCCCGCACAACCCCAACCAGGGCCAGGGATCGTACTGCAACCGAGGCACGTGCCCCTAGCGAGAACCGAACCCGAGACCCCTTGGTCTGTGGGCTGACACTCTACCCGCTGCGCCAAACGGGTCAGGACAATTACTGCTCCTGCTTTAAAGAAACCTCGTTCTGCCCTGGCCAGTTTGGCTCAGCGGTTAGAGCGTCCGCCTGCGGTCCGGAGAGACCCAGGTTCAGTTCCCACTAAGGGCATGTACCTCGATTGCAGTTTGTCCCCGGCCCTGGTTGGTCGTGTGGGTGGCAGCCACTCGATGTGTCCCTTTCACATCAATGTTTCTCTCTCTCTCTCTGTTCCTCTCGCTCCCTCCCACTCTGTCTGTACAAAAAATGGAAAAATGTCCTCGGGTGAGGATAAAAAAAATAAAGAAAGAAAGAAACCTCGTTCTGATGACTACGGCTGCATAACTACCCAACGCTTAGCACAGAAAACTGACTTTATGATGTGTCACGGACTCCCTGGGTCAGGGATGCAGGCAGGGCTGACAGGTGTCCTGTTCTGCGTGGGTTCTCCAGCTGGTGCCCTTACATGGGGGTGGGCTCCCCAGAGTGAGCGACCCCACAGAACCAGGCAAAGCTCGACGGCATTCCCCGCCCGGTCCGTAGACAGAGCATCACCTCTGCCCCGCGGCACAGATCGCCGGCGGGGAGGGGCTTCCCCAGACGGAGCCGTCTCTGCCCCGCCTCCCCGGCTGGCCCTGAAGCCCCGTCCCTGCACTGGCTGTCCGTGCCTGTGAGGCTCATCAGCGTTCACTACCCGTGAACAGTCAGAACAGAAAAACAACGTTTTTTCTTCAAAATTCCATCTGGGAACTCTCCCAGACACGGCCCAGACAACCCTTCAGTGCTTGATCCTCCCAGACAGGGCTCCTGACAGGGCCGCGTCTGCTCAACTCATTCTGGGCATCGCCAGGGCATCGCCGACAGGACATCACCGCCAGGACATCACCACGGGCATCGCCACGGGCATCGCCGACACGGGCATCGCCACGGGCATCACCGCAGGGCATTGCCACGGGCATCGCCGACACGGGCATCGCCAGCACGGGTGTACAGGAGGCGGTGCCCTTGGCTACGAACTCAGCCACAGCATTTCTCCTGACCAAGAACCCTGCCGTTTCACTGATGCTCCTGTAACTGCTGTGTGGGTGCCAGTGCCCCTCACGAACCTTCCTCTCCACCCCCTCTACCATCAGTACCCCGATTCTCCTTGGGAGACCGCCCTTCCCACTCTCGTCCATCGAGGTGGGAAGGATGGTGGCACAGATGAGCTCAGAGCCCCAAAATGAAAATTGTTTCTAAGCCGTGGGGGGCCCCATGACAACCACCCCCGTTCATCTCTACAAAAACCAACATGGCTTATGAATAAGCCATTGATCCAGGGAAGAGAGGAGGAGGAGGAGGAGGGGGAGGAGGAGGAGAAGGAGGAGGGGGAGGGGGAGGAGGAGGAGGAGGAGGGACAGGGAGGGCATCCCAGAGTGAAGAAGTTTGGAAACTTCCAGAACTAGCAGTCCTGGGGGGTCCTCAAGTGCGACCGTGAGCACCCGCTCAGCTGCGGCGGCCCAGCGCGCTCCAGCGTGAGCAGCCCTGACGGCGCCCCGGGCTGAGTGGGATGCATGTACTCACTTGCTTACGACGGTCTTGTAGGCTGGGGACCAGGCGGCCCTGGGTTGCAGGAGGAGCTTGTGCTGGTGGAGAGGCCCCGCGGCTCCGAGCGCAGAAACGCAGCTTGGGTCCTTCTAAAGCCAGTTCAGCGCCAGATGCGCTCCGCTGTGCGCTCAGCACCGATTTGCTTGACGGACCGGAACAGGACCGTGCCCTGGGCACCAGCAGTTCTGGGGTGTCCGTGGGAGAGCTGGAGAGCTGAGGTCAGGAGAGGTCTCCCACCACCCGGCCCCATCCAGACACTCCGTGCCGCCTCCACCCAAGCGAGCGAAGCCCAGGCCAGGCTGCCCCATGGCCCTCAAGTTTCCTGAAGCTGCCGGGTCGTGCGTGGTGCAACCTGTGACCACCGCGCAGAGGAGACAGGCAGCTGGCCAGCGGGTGGTTTTCCTCGGAGTGACGCTGGAGCCAAGGCACATCACATCACAGGACAGCCAGCGCCCCGGCGTCCGCGTGGCTGTTCTTCCCAGCCATCTGTCACCCGTGAAGTCCTCCAGCAGGCTGAGCGTGCCTCGGCACCTTGCTGGAACTAAAGGGCATGGGGCTCAGGCCTTGATGACTCTCCCGGAGAAGGAGCCTGACGTGAGCCCTGTGGAGGATGAGCCCAGCCTGGGGGACAGTCAACAACCAGGGTTCTTTCTGCTCAGGGCTCATATCTCCCCAACAACCACTCTGGCCCCGCAGGGATGGCCACCTCCCAACACCCCGAACCTGTGAAAATGTTCGGCTGCATGACCAGAGGACTGACGGCTGCAGATGAAATTAAACTTGCCGGTCTACAGATGGCACCATAGGGAGATCACCTGGACTCCATACAGGGTCCTCACATGTGGTCGGGGCAGGAGTCTGACGCTGCGGGGTGGGGGAGGGACCAGCAACTGGGATGCTGGCAGCCTGCAGACACTGGAAAACACAGGGAACCGATGCTCCCTGGAACCCCCAGAAGGCATGCAGCCCGCTGACACTCTGGTTTCAGCCCAGTGAGACCCAGGTCAGCAGCCTCTGACCTCCAGGACTATTAAAAACACATGTTTGAGGCCCTACATTCGTTGTGTTTTGTTACAGCAGTAGCAGGAGACTGGCCCAAAGAGGGAGTAAGCCCAGACTCCCCTACAGCTAGGACGGCTGTGCGGCCCACGCTGGCAATGACACAGAGAGAATAGGGCCCGGCTGCTGTGGCTCAGTGGACTGAGCAGTGGCCCATGGACTGAGGTCCCAGTTCGATTCCCAGTGAGGGCACATGCCCAGATTGCAGGCTTGATCCCCAGTAAGGGGCGTGCAGGAGGCATACAATCGATGTCTCTCTCTCTCTCCCTCCCTCTCTATAAAAAAATCAATAAAAAGATATTTTAATAAGGGGAACAGGCTCAGACTCCCTTGCAGCTAGGACGGCTGCGTGGCCCTCTGACAACGATGCACACGCTGATAGGCGCTCAGCTGGGTTTCCAGAAAAGCCACTGCTTTGCTGATAAGAAAGGGACAGACCGAGGGGGCGGGCTTTTGGCTTCTTACGCAGCCCTTTTTCCGGAACACGGCTCTTGCAATGACAAGAGCTGCTGTCCAGAAACCGGCCCTCAGCCACAGGGAAGCCCAGGTGAGAACATTATCGCCGTGGGGTGAGAGCACTCTTGGGTCACTTGGTCACCAGGGGCCCAGGAAATGCCCCAACCATTTGGACCAAGCCTCTCCCCCAGGACATGGCTCCTGCAGAACCCGATTCCTGCCCGGAGCCGGTCACCCCTACAGAGCACACGCGAGCACACTGCACGTGTAGTGTGTACACAACACATCTCTTTATTGCATTAGATTCCTCGTGGCACTGTCCCCTATTTTTATAATCCAGAAGAAAATGGATTCAAAAAAGTATTTCACTGTGCTGTTTTTAAAAATACAAAAATGAACATCAGGATTACAAGAACTGAAGAGAACATAGACGACCTGGCTGTCAACCCCGAGACGCGGCTGACAGGCGCGGTGCCCTCCTGCAGGCGAGGGCCCTAGGGCAGAGCAGCACAGGCTGAGGACACATCCCTGAGCGCCGCCCCAGGGTGGCGTCCAGCTCTCCAGACACCCACACACCAGGCCGTCCACAGTAGAGATTCTGAACCACTCAAAGTCCACGAAACAACAAGCTCCCAGTAAAGCTGGGCGTCCGCTGGTCCTCCGGAGGGGACTGCTCTCTGGGCAGCGCCCACCGTCTGGTCCTCCGGAGGGGACTGCTCTCTGGCAGCGCCCACCGTCTGGTGGGGCGACGCGGCTCCACCAGGAATGGCGCGTGTTCCATCCATCAGGGAGATGCGCAGGCGGCAGCCGCCGGGCCCTGACCACCAGCTGCAGGAAGTCACACTGGGCAGCGCCATTGTCACAGCTGATGGGCAACGACAGACAGACAGACAGACGGGCCCTGAGGGACAATGGCCAGAGCCGAGACTGAGGTACAGGGAGGAACAGACCTGTGCCTTAACCGAGAAGTGGACCCACGGGGGGCTGAGGGCCAGATGCTCCTCGGGGACAGGCTGTCGCTGGAGCACAGGTGCAGGCACAGCCCCACCCCCACACGCCCCTGGGCCTCCAGGTCAGGCCCGCATGCTGGCATGGGCAGACCGGCACCCCAGGTGGACCCCAGGTTCTCCCCAAGCCCAAAGCCTGAGCGCTGCGGTGCTGAGCGACTTCCTGGACCACACGGTTCTGGCACCGCCGTGCGCGGGAGGCGGACGGCGCGATCAGAAGCCCTGCAGCTCGGGGATGTGCCGGTACAGGTCCAGGGTCTCGGGGTTCGAGAAGGCTCCGCGGTACTCCACGGCCTTCCCGGCAATGACCTCCTTCACGGCCACTTCCACCTTCTTGCCGGTGAGGGTGTACTGCAGGGAAGGGGAGGACACAGACGCCTTTAACCCTGGGAGCACGGCCCTCGGCTCGGCCCGCCCGCACATCGAACCAGGCAGGCCCCCAGCCCGGGCCCAGGGCCCGCGCTCCCAGCTCCGGGCCGACCACGCAGGCACGGAGGGGCCTCACCACGCTAGCCCGTGGCACGCCCGCCACCACATCCGGGGGCTGGGGGCCGACCCCTAACCTGAGCTTGTTCCGTGGATGCAAAATGGGGTAACAGGACCCCACCCCGAGGCTGGGAGGTGAAGGGAGGGAGCACAGCTCTCGGGAGTGCCTCGAAATCGTGTTCTACCCGCATTTCGCTGTGCATGTTCCTTCACCACACGTGCCCGCGTTACAGAGACCAGCTGACGAGCATCCCAGGCTTCCCGTGACGTCGTCACCAATGGGCAACCGGAAATCACGTCTCATCCACCACCACCACCACAGTCTTGTCAACTGTTCCACTGAGAGGTGTTTATCTGAGCGGGAGGGGCATGACTTTCTCTCGTCACCTGTGGGCTCCGTCTGTGATCCTGACGGCGCTGGTGTGTTTAGGGGTCAGGAAGCTTCCAGGACAGGGGTGGGGCACATCCGGCCCTCTGGCCTCACAAACCCGCGGAATCAATACCAGCTAACACCAGAGCCTCACCAAATAGCTTGACCAAACAGAGCAGGGTTTTAAGGTGATGATTTTGTACCGTCCACAAAGGATACTATACATACCCGACGGCCCCGGCGGAAGAAAGGCCCCCCCACCCTGTTCTAGGACCACACAGCCCCTAAGCTGCTGGGCCGACCTCTCCAGCAGCAATGCTTGTTCTCTGAAACCTGCGGTGATGAAAATCCATTCATGCGGAAAACTCGCTGACGCGTGAGCTAACCGAGGATCTGAGCGCTGGCTGCCGAGGGCCCTGTCGCCGCGGCGGCCTCGGGGAGTGTCACACACGTTTCCTGTGCGCGTGAGCTTCACAGACGCTCCAGGCTCGTGGGAGCTAGTAATTACACCTCCCCTTAGCCAAAAGTAACCGGACAGTGTTTCAGAGGAGACCCCACTACTGTTTCCTGGTAGGAGGGGCCAGGGGAGAGAGACAGGACAGGCCAGGCGTACAAACTGTGACCCAGGACAAGGGCCTGACTTGTCCCCCAAATCCTTGTGGCTGGGCCAGACCCTCCCCGGCTCAGCGACACACAGAGAAAACCCTCCCCCAAGTGCTCCATTAACTCAGACCACGGGGCTCTGAAAATACTTGGAACACCTCAGGTCACCCTCCGCATGACCTCCGGCCCAGCAGTCCCCACAGAGCCGAGAGCAGGACAGGAGGGACACGTGCCGTCTCTCTCGCGTCCGGCCCAGTCCAGGAGCAGCAGCCTGGGGACAGCACGCCCAGCAGAGGGCGCTGCTCTCCCAGAACGGCCAGGCCAGGCCCACAGCACCGGTCTAGCCCAAGCGCATGCAGACAGGCCGGACCCGCTGAGGGCGGCCCTGGCCCCCTCAGGAAAGGCCGAGGGGCTGTGGATCCAGGCACCTCCTGGCCCAGGAGCCCACATCCCTGCAGAGTCCCCAAGAGAACTCCCTTCCCCTGCGACCCTTCCTCTGCATAACCCAAATGGAAAAGGACATGTGGGCACTATTTTCCAAGGAAGCAAGCCCACAGCGAGCGTGTGGCTGGGCTGGGGAAGCAGGGTCTCCATGAGCACCTGCACACAGCGGGCCTCGGGGGTACACCCCCCGCCCCCAGCCCGGAGACACCGTTTTAAAGGCGTTGCTAGAGAACCGACTCGTGCGCTGGAGGAGTTTCAGGGTCAACGGCCGCCGTCTTTCATGGCTCCCAGGAAGCCTTGTCTCGGATCCATCTGCCTCCAGCGCAGGTCCTGCTGGCGCAGCCGCAGAGCGCAGCGCCACCTGCTGGCTCCCGCGAGCAGCTGTTCCGCAGGCTGGAGGGCAGCCTGCCTCTTGTGTGTGGACTGCGGGGTACATGCCCGTAGCCAGCACTTCCTTCTCTCAGCTGACAGACCCTCGTTTTGTGGGCACAGCAAGTGAGACCTGTGCTCCGACTGGGAGCCTCACCCCACCTGAACAGGTCAGAGGGGGCACAGCCTTCAGGGCCCGAACAGACGGACTTAACAGGAAGCGCCAAAGCGACCGCACGCAGTGGCTCTTCAGAAAGCTGGGGTTCGTTTTCTCGGGATGATTCTGAGAGCACACTAACCCGCATCGGGAAAGGCCAGGGAGATGTGCAGGGCGAGCCTGCTTCCGCTCTGAACAGCGGGCTGGGCAGAAGGCGCTCGCGATGCAGTTTAGGGAGGGTCAGAAAAGAGGTGACAGGGAGAGAGCCTGTTGCCAGGCAACAGGGACAAACACTATGTAAAGCACGCGCCTTAGAGTTCCTGTGCATGGGCCTGCGGGAGACGGCGGCGTGCTGGCCCGCTGCGGGGCGGCAGGCGACAGAGCCTTACCGGGATGCCCTTGGTCTCCAGGATGAGGCTGGGCACGTGCCGGGCCGACAGGCCGACGCGGATGGCGTCCCGGATGCGCTGCACCAGGTCGGGCCGGAAGGTGTGCCCGGAGGCCATCTTCAGGAAGAGGACCACCCTCTCCTCCCCGTCCTCGTTGTACTGGGGGACACAGAGGCTGTCCGCCACCTCCTCCAAGGCTTCCACTGTGGAGACAGGGGGTGGGGCCACGCTCCAGCTGTCCGCCTCGGCCAACGCACCGGACAAGGACGGCCCTCTCCCCCCCAGCCCTGCTGGAAAGAGCCCCTGGAGACGGGGGGCAGGGGGAAGACGGTGTGAACAAGATCGTGTGCGGCCCTTACTTATTACGTTCCTTAAAGAGGAGGCAAGAACTCGTGGTGGGAGGAGCAGAGGCCGAGCGAGGTGGGGACTTCTCCCCCCGCTGCACAGCAGCCCCGACGAGACTGCGCAGCTGAGCTGCTGGGCTGAGTTGGGCCCTGTGAGGCCCCCGGATGAGCCCACTGTGCAGCGGGGGGCCACGGCCCACGCTGTATTTGGTGCCCTGCGTGGTACTGTGTGACCCTCAGCAACCTCGCAACCTCCCTGTGTTTCTGCTTCTCGACTCATAAAGAGCAGACTCAACTAACCGCCTGGCCGGAGCTCACCGTGAGCATGAAGCGTGACAGGGATGGGGACAGCCTGCGGTCTTGAGTCCCCTTCTGAGGTTCTGAGGGCTGCGAGCAGCGAGGACGAGGTGTGTCCTTAGGACACACCGGAAATGGCTAACTCACAGCAGGAGGCTCGGGGGCGGAGTCCTGCCGGAAGGTGAGTCTGCGGAAGGCAGCCCTCTGGGCGCCCCGCCAGGACCCCTCCTTCCCCGACTTGACAATGACTGGGGAGAAGGGGAACGTACCGATGTTGTAGATCTCCGAGCTGCCGAACCGCACTCCGTTGGGGTTGAGCGTGCCGTCGCTGGAAAGAGACGAGATCATGAACACGCCGCAGCTCCTGAGCGGAGCAGGGGGCCCTGGCCCACAAACCTCAGTCCTGGAAAAGCTGTCGCCCCTCCGCCCACCAGGTCCGAGCACAGAATAGTGAACCAGGCCCTCGGAAACGGACATGGGAAGCGCCCCCCTCCCCTCCCCGGCGCCTCGGGAAAAGGGGGTCCAAGGAAGCGAGGCCGACCACAGACCCTCACCTCCGGCCCAGCATGACGATGCCCCCGGTCTTGGGGTTGATCCTGCAGTAGTCACCGTGCGCCCAGACACCTGCAGGGGGCAGAGTGCTCAGTCACCCTGGGAGGGGGCTGCGTGGCAACGTGAGTCGCACTGGTGGACATCAGCAGGGCCCCCAAGTGGGAAAGGACAACCCTGGGCCTGGGGAGGAGAAGGGGGCCTGGAGGGGCAGCAGCGTGACCGGGCAGGCGTCTCCTGCCACAGGCCCGTACTGCAGGCCGGAGCTCAGGCCCCGGCCAGTGGACAGAGAGCCACCGCAGGTGAAGCCCAGGGAGCACGGAGGGCGAGGGAGGGACGAACTGGACGTGACACTGATGCGGAGCCACCCCTCGTCCTGGGGCTCAGCAAAGCTAACCACCCAAGGGATCAAACTTCTCCACCCACACGGAGCCGTAAAAAGAAGCCACGCCTCTCAGGGACTCACCAAGGGAGCAGTTAAAGCAGACAGAGCCCCCACCCCCACACAGGCAGGGGCCCTGGGCACAGAGGGTGCCGCCGAGGAACCTGAACCCAGAGACAGCTCCGGGACAGGCGGCACCAGAGTTCACGGCCCGGGCGGGGCTGCGAGCGGCGCCCACCTGGGAACTTGGAGAAGTACGCCTTGCGGTACTTGCTGCCGTTCTCGTCGTTCCAGAAGTGCGTGGGCTGGCAGGGGAACGGCTTGGTGCACACCAGCTCTCCGCTCGCCCCCCACACCGCCTTTCCTGGGGGGGGGGCTCGTTCAGCGAGTGCTGCCTGCGAGGCAGCTCTCGGACACTGCACACACACGCTCCCCAGTCGACACTCAGGGGGGGCCGTACCTTCCTCGTCCCAGGCCTCCACGGCCATGCCCAGGTTCCGGGCCTGGATCTCCCCTCTGTAGACAGGAAGACACACATTCTGGCCCATGAAGCAGGAGATGATGTCCGTGCCACCTGCGACCGCGACGAGACGAGACTCCAGTGAATGAGAGCGAAGGAGAAAGACCGGAAGGACGGACATCTATACCCCCGCAGATGAGCGCTGCCAAGTCCCAGACAGGGAGCCCCTCTCCAGGGAAATGAGACACTGGAGCGAGCCTTCCGTGTCCGGGTGACTTATTTCTGACCCAGTCCCCCGCGGGAGGAGAGACTAAGTAAACGACCTCTCGTGGTCACATGGGACATCAAGACTCAGCCGCATGAGAAACGAACGCTTCGCCCGTCAGATCCGCCCGGCAGGCACCGCGGGTCAGGGGCTGTGCCTGCGCAGGGGGACCGGCCTGGGGGCACCCCCCCCCTCCGAGTGCTGCAGGACCCCCTCCCTGGCGCCAGCACACGCAGCGTACCTGAGATGGAGCCCAGGAGGACGCTGGTCTTGATGCACCTGTACACGTAGTCGTAGCTCTGGGCCTTCAGCGGGGAGCCCGTGGACAGGATGGTGTGCAGCGTCTGCAGGCTGTGGGTCTCCACTGGGGGGAGGCAGCAAGACTGAACCACCTGCCGCTGGCCGGCACGCGGGGGACTCACAGCACAGGGCTGCGGCTCCCCGGCAGCTGGGGACCAGACACCGGCCACACTCACCTGGCCTCATGTTCCTCGCTTCGAGCACAGACAGCCACTTGGCGCCCGTTCCCAGGATGGTGATGCTGAGGGCACAGGAGGGAAGAAGTCACCGAAACTCCTCGAGCTTCTTTCCAAAACGGAAGGCTCACTTCCGATACGTGTGCAAAATCAAGACTCGTTTTTCTGGGTTAAGCTACTATTTGACCTTGGCTGAAGGGTCCTCACACCTGTTCACTGGCATCTGGCAGTGACACGCCTCACCCCCCGTGTGTGCACGGCACGGACATGGTGCTGGCAAAGGGGTGCCTGAGTGATGGACGAGCCCGCTCCCCGTCCCGAGGCTCCATCTGGAACCATCTCACCGCGGTGCGTCCGCTCAAGGCGGCGACACGGTTCAGGCGACCTGACGCCTGCCCCATACTAGCAAAACCAGACAAGACCCCGAGTTCCAACCCTGGCCCTAAGCACAAGACCCCCTGGCCACCACTCTCTTGTACACCATGCACGTGCATATACACACATACACTCACGCCCACATGCATGGTCACACTCAGACATGCTTACACACTCCACACACTCATTCACACACTTGCATGCATGCTCACACTCATTCACACATGCATGCTCACACTCAGGCATGCTTACACGCTACACACTCACATACATGCTCAGACATGCTTACACACCGCGCTCACACACATGCATGCTCACACTGACATGTTCACACAAACACATGCATGCTCACACTCCGGCATGCTTACACACCACTCACACGCGCATGCTCAGACATGCTTGCACACTCGCATTCACACACATGCATGCTCACTGACGTGCTTACACACCACACACATTCATATTCACATACACACATTCACATGCATGCACGCTCACACACACTCACACAGGTATGCTTACACATTCCTGCACACACACCAGGAGTGTCTCCATCCACAGCCTAGCTTGCAGTATTGGGGGGAAGATACGGGAGCCCTCCGAGTTCCCAGGGATTTGATTAACCTTTCGCTGGAAACACTCTCATTAGGAAAGAACCTCCATTGTACACCAAATGTCAGGATTTAAATATTTCCCAGGCTGGGCAACGTTGTATTTAAAATGTTAATGGCCAAGGGTGTTAAATGTTAGCGGCTCCTGTCTGCCCACCGTGCACAGACTCAGACTGTACGTAATGAGAACATCCCGACTCGGCTGACTCCCACGTTCTCATCCCGAAAACCCACCGGCAGGTCGACAGTGAGCAGAATCGGCCCCCAGGCACAATTAACAACGGTCATGAAACAGGACAGTGCCAGTGAGGACCAGGAGGGGCACCAGGCGGGGAGGGCCCTTCCTCTTCCCAGGTTTCAGTCCTCGGGGGCCAGGAGGGGGCTCCCCTTCTAACCCGCTCTGGCCTCGGCTCCTCGGTGCCCACTGCCGCCCAGCCAAGCACCGCGGGCGACGCCGGCAGGAAGCACTGGGGCACCCACGTGAGGGTCCAGAGCACAGGGAGCGGCCGCACGGGGCGCTGATGACGGGCAGGAGGGTGAAGTCCAGCAGGGCACCTACCCTATCCGGTCGACCAGGTCCCAGAGCACGTTGGGCGTGGGCACCAGCGGGGAGCCGTCATACAGGACCAGCGCGGCGCCCGTGGCCAGAGCGGACACCAGCCAGTTCCACATCATCCAGCTGGCCTGGGCAGACGGGGTGGGATGGGGCTCGGTCACCCAGTGCGGGGCCAGCTGCCCCCCTCCACTCAGCCTCACGTCCCAGCAGCCACCAGCCGAGCCCGGAGCTGGTGAGAGCCGCCCGTTCCCAGCACACGAGCTCCGCCCGGGTCCGCGTCCGGAGTCTGTTGTCCAGCACAGTCCGGAGGGAGGGACACGGCGCGGGCGGGCTCGGCGGGGGGATGCTGGGTCTCCGTGGGAAAATCCACGCCCAGTCCTCACTCACAGGACAGGGAGCCTCCAGGACAGGGAGCCGCCCTTGAGAAACACGCTCCCGATTCTGAAGTCCCTCCACTGTCCCCGGGGGAGGAGACCAGCAGGGCTGTCCTGGGCCCAGGCCCTTGACTTAGCCAGGCAGAGAGGTGAGGCCACCGCCCACAGCCACACATCAGGAGCCTGCAGGCCTGCCCTGTCCCCGGCACCCCACAGGTCAGGGCCTCACTTCCACCATACTGTCTCTTTAAAACTTCAGGCCCTGGCCGGTGTGGCTCAGCGTTAGAGCGCAGGCCACGGACCAAAGAGTCCCGGGTTCGGTTCCCGCTAAGGGCACGTACCTCGGTTGCAGTTTGGTCCCGGCCCCGGTTGGGGCTGTGTGGGTGGCAGCCAGTCAGTGTCTCTCTCTCACATCAGTGTTTCTCTCTCTTTTCCTCTTTCTCTCCCTCCCGCTCTATTTGAAGATAAATGCAAAAATGTCCTCGGGTGAGAATAGAAAATAATAATAAAATTAAAAAAGTAAAAACCCAGCACAGAGTCATTGTCCAGAAAACAACTAAATCCTTCTGGGCCCTCTTGGTATTTGCAGCCTTGGAAAAGACACTGCGTCCCCTCCCTCGGGACAGGCACTGCGTCCCCCCCTCGGGACAGGCACTGCCTCCCCCCCTCGGGACAGGCACTGCCTCCCCCCCTCGGGACAGGCACTGCGCCCCCCCCCTCGGGACAGACACTGCGCCCCCTCCCTCGGGACAGACACTGCGCCCCCTCCCCCGGGACAGACACTGCGTCCCCTCCCTCGGGACAGGCACTGCACCCCCCCCTCGGGATAGGCACTGCGCCCCCTCCCCCGGGACAGACACTGCGTCCCCTCCCTCGGGACAGGCACTGCGCCCCCTCCCTCGGGACAGGCACTGCGCCCCCTCCCTCGGGACAGGCACTGCGCCCCCCCCCCTCGGGACAGGCACTGCGTCCTCTCACTGGTCCTCAGATCTCACACGTCAGTGTCCAGCCAAGTGGGGACCCTCTCCGACCCCTGAACTCCGCTCCCGTCTAACGCGCTTGTCCGTCCACACTGCACAGCAGGGGCGGGGCAGGACCCACCACTTGGTTTCCCTCCGTGCCGCCCAGTGACACGGCACAGGGATGAGACTCAAGGACATGGGCTTCGCTGTGTTGTTTGCTTTTCCGAGGCCACCAGAACCAAAGCCACTGAGGGGGAGGCGGAGGGAGAGGCCCCTGAGCACGGCACCCGGCCCCCCGCCCACTCACCGTGGTGTAATACAGGATGGTGTCGCTGCTGGTGGTGTTCCCGTGCAGGACGTGCTCCTTCAGGTGCTGGAGGAGGGTGCCCTGGGGGAGGAGAGGCCGCATGTCACACACGCTGCCCCAGGAGGGGACACACTGCTGACCCAGCAAAGCGGACCCTGGCTCCCTCGCCCGACGGGCGGCCGCCCTCGTCTCCCTGCCCCGACCCGAGAGCCCAGGACGAAGCAGCCCTGACAGGCTCCCGTCGGCCCACCAGCTCTAGGTGCCAGGGGCCAGCCACACCCTCTGGGACCTGCCACCTCAGGCAGAGGGAGTGGAGATCAGGCTGTCTCCCAGGGATGAGAGTGGCCGAGTGACAGCCACACCCTCTGGGACCCGCCACCTCAGGCAGAGGGAGTGGAGGTCAGGCTGTCTCCCAGGGATGGGAGTGGCCGAGTGACAGCGACGAACTTCAGATGAGCCACTGTTCACACGGGAACCGCGGCAAGGACCGGCTCCCGGACCGCGTGAACGTGCCCTTTCCAACTGAGAACTGCGTCCCCCCCAGTGGTCTGCCCGGCCTGGCCCTTTGTCCACTGGCCCCCTCCCGGGGCACAGGACACGCCGGCCATGCTCCTCTCTCCAGCACCTCCATCGGAGCCGTAGCTCAGGGGTAGGTCTCCCCTAATCTGCGAACAGTCCCGGCCCAGCCGGGGAGGGAGGGGAGCAGCCTGGCTTCGTGGGCCTCCAGCAGGAAGATAATTTAATTTCAGAGACGGGAGGGCAGCTGCTTTGAGGCCCTTCGCGGACTCAGAAAACACCCCAGCGGGAGCAGCCCTCCCCACCGGAAACCCGGGAGTGCCAGCCTTCCCCGGCCGAGACCACGTGGAAGCGGCCAGCTGCTCGGAGACCCAGGAGGCCCTGGTGACACGGTAAGTGCGACGCGTCCTGAATGTGCCCGCTTCGCACGCACCACACACGACGATCTCGTGAGCAAACTGCATCCAGTACGTTTTCTGTCCCTCTCCTAAGAAGTGACAGTCACGGAAACAGAAGCAGGGATACGCTGCTTCTCCTAGACCGCCTGCTGTTTTCCACACACGCCCCAGCCCTGCGCGAGGTGTCGAAGGCGGCCATCGGCACGGCCGCGAGCAGCGCTGGCCAGGTGCTGGCCTCCCTCGAGGGGCAGCGACACCGGCAGCCGCGGAGCAGATCTCCGACCCGACGCACACGCAGGAGGGCTTCACTGCAGAACCACTCGCTCCCACCAGAAGGCACCTCGGGGTGGCAGTGTCACCCCAGAAACAACACCTTGGCTGGGGGCTGCAGAGAAGCCACCACGGCGCACACAGGTTTCCTTCACGCCGAGGGCGGCAAATCAAGCTGGAAGGGGCGGGTGCACCCCGCCCGTCGGTGGAGACGTTGAGGAAGTCACTAAGGCTCTGATGTGACTTGCACGGACATGCTCCCCCTGGTGGAAGGGTTCAGGGTGCTCTAGGCACAGAGCCTGCACAGCTACATGCACCAGGAGAGAAGGGTCACCCTTCGCCACTTCAGGCTGCTGGAGCGCGAGGCTGCAAGGTCTCACTGACGTGCTGGGCGCCCTGGGAAGCCGCCCCTGGAGGGTGCCAGGCAGGCCGGCGGGAAGCCCCGAGCCGCCGGGGAAGCAGGGGCCCGGGCCTGCAGCACTGTCCCCTGAGCGTGGCCGCAGCACCGGCGCAGCAGCTCCCTGCCCGCTGGAGTGCAGATCTCGGGGCAGCACCCCACCCGAGAGCGGGCTGCGTGCGAGAACCCCGAAGATGGGGGCGGGGAGACCTACCCCGGCCGAATGCACCATGCACTTGGGCGCGCCGGTGGTGCCAGACGAGAACATGATGAAGAGAGGGTGGCTGAAGGGCAGCTGCTCGAACTCCAGCTGGGGCGCTTGATCCCCCTTCCCGGTCGCCAGGAAGTCATCCAGAAACACGCTGCAGGCAAAACGCGGGGGGTCAAACAGTGGCATGCCCTGCCACCAGGATGCAGCCTCGTGCCCCTCCTGTCTGGGCGGACCAGAGCCTGGGCCTGGGGAGCGAGCCTCCCGGAGTCTCCCAAACACGGGACTGAGGGGAAGCCAGCGGAAGGGGGACACCTCCCGGCTGCTTGAACAGGTCAGGCTGCCTGTTCTCACAGCGTCCGCGTCGCGGTGGGGGGCCTGGGCCTGCTCCGGGGAAGCCAGCGGAAGGGGGACACCTCCCGGCTGCTTGAACAGGTCAGGCCGCCTGTTCTCACAGCGTCCGCGTCGCGGTGGGGGGCCTGGGCCTGCTCCGGGGAAGCCAGCGGAAGGGGGACACCTCCCGGCTGCTTGAACAGGTCAGGCTGCCTGTTCTCACAGCGTCCGCGTCGCGGTGGGGGCTCTGGGCCTGCTCCGGGGAAGCAGCGGAGGGGGGACACCTCCCGGCTGCTTGAACAGGTCAGGCTGCCTGTTCTCACAGCGTCCGCGTCGCGGTGGGGGGCCTGGGCCTGCTCCGGGGAAGCAGCTTCGCTGAGGCTGGGAGGTGCCGCCGGCGCCCCACCTCGGCCACCACCCACCTCGTGAGCAGACCCCGGCTTCCCTTAAAGCGAGGCCGCGGCCCAGGGGGCCTGAATCACTACGCTGCCCCGTGAGGAGGAGGGAGGGAGCGGGTGTGGGATGCATGAGCTCCTCCTGCGTGTGAAGGGCACAGCGAGAAGGTGGGGCCAGGACCCGAAAACTAGTTTCTATGATGAAAAACCGCCAGTGGTCGTCATGGGTTATCACGGGTTCACGCCACCCAAAGCGTGCAGCGCCACTGTCGGCCCAGGAACACGTGAAATTAGGCCCACGTGCATAGCCTAAGAAGTCCTCCTTGTCCCCAAAGCTGACATGAGGCACCGGGCATGTGGCCGAGAGCCGCCAGAGGGCACGACCAGACCTGCTCTCTGAGCAGGAACTGCGGCAGAAACAGCCGTCCAGACCCTGCTCCTCGGGGTTTTAGGGGAGAAGACGAACGGACACGGACAGGGCTGCGTCTCTCCCAGGCGGGGGAGAAGTCAGGTCGGGTCAGCCGCGGCCCGCAAGGGGCTCCTCTGCAAGGCGAACGCAGAAGCGCTGCCGTGAAGGGCCCTGGTCGCAGCGGGAGGCCTCCGGAAAGGTGCGGTCTCCGGGGCAGGTGAGTGAGGTTCGGAAGGGCGTGGAGCCCACCGGTGTGGCTCAGTGGCTGAGCGCCGACCCACACACCAAGAGGTCACTGGTTCGATTCCTGGTCAGGGCGCATGTCCCGGTTGCGGGTCCGGTCTCCAGAGGGGGACATGCAGGAGGCGGCCAGTCAATGTTCTCTCTCATTGATGTTTCTATTTCTCTCTCCCTCTCCCTTCCTCTCTCTCTAAAATCAACAAAGAAAAAATATTTTTAAAAAAAGAAGGGCATAGAAGTAACTCATCTCTGCATGTGAGCAAGGCCACCTGCTCCAGAGCACCAGGAAAACGCCTGGCCGTCGGTCGTTCCGGCCGATGGGGCCCATCCACCTCCACCTCTCACCCGCACCCCACTCACATGGGTGCCCGATGTAATCAGTGTGTCCAGAGAAAAAAGTTTAGTTTTTTTTTAAATCCTCACCCAAGGACATTTTTTTCCTATTTATCTTCAGATAGAGTGGGAGGTGGGGCGGGGGGGGAGAGAGAGAAACATCGATGTGAGACGGACACATCGACTGGTTGCCTCCCGGTCAGGACGAACCGCAGCCGAGGTACGTGCCCTGGACCGGAACCAAACCCGCGACCCACTGGTACGCGGGCCGATGCTCTAACCATGGAGCAGGCTGGCCAGGGCCAGAGAACAGCCTCTTTCCAACAGTCCACAGGTCACCGTGAACAGCTGCTGCTGTTGCTGCCGTTTTGCACTGTATGAAACCAATGAAGGGCTAATGCTCCTGGACGCTCTCATTTTGTATCAGTTACTGATGAACACATTCAGGAACCAGAGCCCGCACCCGAGGCCAGCAAGTCTGTCTGCTTGTCCTCCAGCCTCTGCCCCACAGCCCTGCCCGCAGGAGCAGGGAGCTGCTCAGGGCTGCGTGAGCCGAGACCGAGCTTTGTCATCTGCTTATAATTTGTCAGGGCTGGCAGGGTGCCCACAGTCGAGTGGACAAGTCCTGGCCCCTGGGCCTGCATGGAAGGGCTGGCTCATCCCGGCCTGGACGCTGCCGGGGACCAGCCCACGCCTGCCTGCGGCTGTCACCTTCTCTCATGGTTACTGAGAGCCAACTAATGCGCTCTGCTCACAGCCAGACTGTGAGGGACGGACTGTTCCATCCCCACTTCACAGAAGGGAACCAAGGCCCAGAGAGGCTGATCACTAGCGCAGCATCACCCAGCCAGCATCCGGCTCCAGACCTTCAGCCCTCAGGCAGCGGTCGCTTCGCTCATGGTTCCCTTTGGCCTCTGTGATCCTGGCCCTGCAGTTGTCCCCAGACCACGCCCCTCTCCCAAGGTCACCTTGGCGCCACCAGACCCTACGAATGAGCAACTACACCCTTCTCTCAGCTCTCTGCACTTCCTACCCACAACAAGCCCGGCTGTGCCCACTGGGCTCAAGGCGACGGCTCACCCTCCCTGCAGCGTCTCTGGCCCTCTGCTCTGCAGGCCCCCGGGACCACACAGGCTTGACCGCCTCCACCCAGCGCGCGCCGCACAGGACCCTCCGCGCCCGCGGCGCACCGCACAGGACCCTCCGCGTCCGGGGCGCACCGCACAGGACCCTCCGCGCCCGGGGCGCACCGCACAGGACCCTCCGCGTCCGGGGCGCACCGCACAGGACCCTCCGCGCCCGCGGCGCACCGCACAGGACCCTCCGCGTCCGGGGCGCACCGCACAGGACCCTCCGCGCCCGGGGCGCACCGCACAGGACCCTCCGCGTCCGGGGCGCACCGCACAGGACCCTCCGCGCCCGCGGCGCACCGCACAGGACCCTCCGCGCCCGGGGTGCACCGCACAGGACCCTCCGCGCCCGGGGCACACCGCACAGGACCCTCCGCGCCCGGGGCACACCGCACAGGACCCTCAGCCAAGCGCCTTGAAACTTTCCCCAGCGGCTTCAAGAGAGAGGAAGAGAGTCTAACTCTAAGGATTTGGGGACAAATTCAACTTAGAGCAAACCACAGTCCATTCCTTAATTTCTACCACAAGTAAAGACCTCACAACTCGATCTGGCTCTCGGGGAGGTGGTGTATCGGCTTGTAAATGCAAGACGAGCAAAGGAAGGTGCCCTCAGCGATGAGAATGAAAACGGGGGGGGGGGGGTACACATTCACATCCACAGACACATGGGCTACGTACTGTCAGCACTGTGTGGCCCGTCCAGGGAGTGGGGCCCGGCCCCGCCACTTGAAAGAGACACAGACAGGAAGAGAGAGGGTCCCTGGGACCTGCTCCCCACTAATCTGCGCTGTGGCCTTGAAGGTTCACTCGGGGCCTCAGGTGCCCGTCGACAGGAGGAGGACCTCAGCTGAACCCTGCTGCACCTGAGACGCTGCAGGCCAAGTGAGGGGTCACGGAACCGCCCGCGGGAGCCGCAGTGGGTTCCCACGAGACCGGAGCAGCCTGGCCGACTCACCTGCTGGGGATCCTCGAGATGTCGATTGTCCCTCTGGAGGCAACATAAGGAATCACCACCACCTTCTCCAAGTCTGGCAGCCCTGGGGGAGGAGGGCCACTCACAGGACACTTACGTTCCTAACAGCACCTGGTGCTGGGCTGCACGGGTCTGCAGCCGCCGAGCCCTGCGGGTCCTGCGGGCTCCCGTCTCTGCGCCCGCCCCTGCGCCCGCCCCCGGGCCAGCTCCGGCCAAGGGCCACACACCTTTCACGACCTGCTGCAGCTTGTCCAGGTGGCCGTGCTCCTTGCCGTTGTACACAACGGCCTCCACGGAGAAGATGAGCTTCGGCTGGATTTGGGAGAACCGGTCCAGGACACCCTGAGGAGCGGGGGCGGAGTCATCACGGGCCCTGGGGAAGCCTCCCCTGGGCAGCCAGCCCTGTGCCTGGTCCTGTCCAGGCCAGGGGCACACGCCGCGCCCGAGCTGGCCGGCACCCCAGGAAAGCACCAGGGACACCGCCCTGGCCAGTGTGGCTCAGCAGCACTGGCTCACGGGCCGAAGGGTCTGGGGTCCGATTCCCGGTCAAGGGCACGTGCCTGGGTTGCAGGTTCGATCCTCCGCCCCAGTTGGGGTCAAGCAGGAGGCAGCCAGTCACTATGTCTCTCACATTGATGTTTCTCTCTCTCTCTCCCCCCTCCTTCCACTCGATCTAAAAGCAGCGATGGAAAAGTACCCTCAGGGGGGGATTAACAAAGGATGGAAGGAAAAGAATACCAAAGGACTCAGACACCGAAACAGCGAATGGAGTCTACCCAGTGGGGAAGGTACTGGTGTTTGCACAGGGCCAGGGCCCAGGTCAGACGCAGCAGTGGGCCGAGGCCTGGGGCTTCTGGGAGCAATTGGGAAACTGGAAACCATGGGTGCGGGGAGGGTGCGCGGGGGAGGTGGGGGGGGGGCAGGGGCACAGGGGTGGGGGCGCAGGGGCGGGGGCGGGTGCAGATGGCCAGGGGGAGACAAGGGGGGTGGGGGCAGGGCGTGGGGAGGTGCAGGAGCAGCCACCAGGCCTCTCGGGCTGGAGCCCCACACAGAAACCGTCACATGTCACATGCTAAGGTGGCCGCACACACACTGGGCAGCATACAGTCTAGAATCATGTCTTTAGGTTTCAAAGCAAGCTCCTGCCTGGGGCTCCTTCTCTCCTGTTATTCTTGTGTCCCGGCGGAGGGGGGCGGGGGCGGGGGGCGTGACCTCATTTCCTTCCTGCCTTGCCGACCCTCAGCTCCACTGGGAGTGTGCCCCGCTCGCTGCGACCCAGGAAGTCTGGTGGGCCGCACACCCAGGGCATGCTCAGGGCCCCGAGAACCCCCGGTGGGGACCCCGACTCACATTCACACCGAAGTCTGGGGAAGTGGCGCTCCAGACAGCGCCGATGCTCGCTGCCGCCAGCATGGCCTCCAGGGCGTGCTCGCCGTTGGGCAGGTAACCTGCAGCGAGGACACAGGGCGGCCTGGCTCAGGGCGTGCGGGCTGCAGTGGTCTTCCACAAGGCATCCCCCGAAAGCCAGGCAGGAGTGGGGCCAGGGGCCGGCCCTAAGCTGTCCAAGGAGCACAGCCGGCCCTACCGCTCCCCAACCCATCCCAGGTGCCTTGACACCTCTCTTCGGTGTCCCTACCACCAGCCCGTCTGCCACTGCTGCCCCTCTAACCCGTTCTCCACAGTCTGATCAGAGCGACCCACAGCCTACGGGATGCTGCCCGGCCTCTTCTCCCTCCACTCCGGGCTCAGCCGCGACAGTCTTCTTCCACTCTTCAGTTGCTCTGAGCTCCTCCTGCCCCAGGGACTTTGCACGAGCTGTCTGCACTGCCTCAACCCTTCCACGCGCCCAGCCTTCCCTGCTCTGGGCTCACTCACCCTTCAGCTGCTGACTCAAATGAAACTTTCTCAAAGAAGCCTTCCCCGAGGCCCTCTGGACTCAGAGTCCCCAGACAGTCACCCACAAAGCACGCTCCATTTCTCCCCTGCTACACCAACTCGAATAATCCCCTACACATAACCACCATCACCGCCTGGTTAACGTCTGGTTCTCAAGTGACGGCCAGAACCTCATGTCTCGTTCTCTGTTCTACTGTGCCCCACACAGCAAGGTCGACCTGGCCTCAGCTGGATGGATGGATGAATGGACAGGTGGACAGACGGACAGATAGCTGGATGGACAGATGAATGAACAGGCAGACTGACAGATGGACGGGATGGATGGATGGATGGATGGATGGATGGATGGATGGATGGATGGATGGGCAGGTGGGTGGATAGATGGATGGGCAGGTGGGTGGATGGATGGATGGGCAGGTAGATGGATGGATGGATGGATGGATGGATGGATGGATGGATGGGCAGGTGGGTGGATGGATGGATGGATGGGCAGGTGGGTGGATGGATGGATGGGCAGGTAGATGTATGGATGGATGGATGGATGGGCAGGTGGGTGGATGGATGGATGGGCAGGTGGGTGGATGGATGGATGGGCAGGTAGATGGATGGATGGATGGGCAGGAAGGAGAGAAGAATGGAGACTATGAGCAGGACAGCATGGGACACATATAAGCCTATGCAGGGCAGAGGAGGGCTCGGGCCCTCCATTGAGTCAGAGGCTGGGCTTTTACGAATAGAGACAGAGTCTTCCTGGCCAGTGCGGATCGATGAAACAGACCCTCAATTTCCAGAGGGAAGGATCTGTGCACAGGCACCGGGCAGCAGGGGCCAGGGCCAAATGCCTCACCTGAGCTGGGCTCCCCAGGTGGCCAAGCCCGCTCGGCTCTAGCACCCAGAACCCCCTGGACACTCTCCCTGGCCCCTCCTCCCGCTGCTCTGAACCCACCTGACCAAAGCAGTTGGTACTTCCATTTCTTTGGGCTCCCCGCACCTGCCCTGCCCAGAGTCCCAAGGGGCAGGGGCCCCACCCTGCATCTGGCACGCGGCAGGTCCTGATGTTTGCTTTGGAGACTAGTGCAAACTGAAACTTCTTGATGATGCAACTGCCTCAGGGCAGGGCAGACTCGCCACCCGGGGAGGCCGCATGGCCCGCTGATGGGGGGCGGACTGACCCACTGCCAGGAGGCAACCACTTCACAGATACGGGCACTGAGCCGGGACAGCTGGGGCTCCGCCTCTGAAGCCCTGTGGGCGCCTCCCATTTACTCCTCCACCAGACTCTCTCCCTAGACTCTCCACTGAGAAGCACCCGGCCAGTCCTCGCTGTGGTCAGGTCAGAACAGTGGCCAAGCCGAGATGATCAGAAAGGGCGGGTCACCAGGTACCGGCCTGATTTTGAAGTGTCCGAGGCACTGGAACTAGGTGTCCCCCAAAGAGCATGGCCAAGAAAGGCTGGGCGTTCTTCCCCAGCACACCCCGCTCCCCGCTTCCCCTTCTCTCAGAACGTGCGCCTCCAAAGGACATTTCTGAACATGTAGATTGGAGGGGAGAACAACTTGGAGAAGAACCTTTGAAATCCCTTTTCTAGACCTTACAAGCGCACAGATTAAACTGGACCAAGAACCCAAGACACCGAGGCTGCGACCCCAGAAGCCCGCTCGGCTCGGCTGCCAGGCTCACTGCCTCCCTCACGCAGGCGATGCCAGGCCCTCGGTCCAGGCTGACAGGGAAAGCGAGGCAGATGCAGGGAGAGAGGGGAGATGGATGTCCCCAGGATCTCCCAGGGTCGAAGGTCGGAGCAGAGACCCCGACGAGCCAGGGAGAACCTCAGATGTGCAGAACACCCCTGCGAGGGCCGGGGCGGGGCCGGGCGGTGTGTCCCTCACTATCTGATTCTTTCTGGCGAGCACGGTGAGCAGAGGCTCCAGTCCCGTCGCCGCGATGGGCTGACACAGCCCAGCCCGGCTCGGCTCCCACATGACGAGGCCGCCCAGCTCCCCGCCCTCTTAGCAAACACACCCCAATGCCCTTGCCTAAGCTCCGGGGAGAGGCACACCACGCCGAGCTCCAGGCCCAAGGCCAACGCCCCACCCGGCTCCCCGCCCTCTCAGCAAACACACCCCAATGCCCTTGCCTGAGCTCCGGGGAGAGGCCCACCACGCCGAGCTCCAGGCCCAAGGCCAACCCCCCACCCGGCTGCTGCTCCTGAGGACACTGGTTCTGCGGCCCTGGTCCCATTACACGGGGGATGGGGAGGGCAGTCTAGCACCCTGACCACCAGGGCAGCTGGGAAGAGGAGGCAGCTTATCTTCACCTGTTCCCCCCCCACCCCCCGAACAAGCCAACCCACGTCTAAATGAACTCAAGTCCCTTGGGGCAGAGAACACGTTGTTACAGGCCTTTGAACTTCTCTAGCAGTTGAATGAAATGATGTGACCCCTACCTTGTTCCAAAGTTGTCCCAACCTCCCGCCACTCCCTCTGCCTCGGTCTCATCCCCAAAGCACGGCAAGCTCCCCAAACACTCACCCACGACGCGGTCCCCCTTTCTCACACCCATTCTCCTCATTGCCGCCGCGAACAAAGCCACCTGCTGCCGCAGCTCCTCGAAGGTCACCTTCACGATGTCCTCTTTGCCTTCCCCTGGAAGAGAGGACGGGCTGTATGCGGACCACCCGGGAAGGAAGACCCCGCGGCCCAGCCGAGGGCGGAGCGCCCGTGGCCTGGCTCGGCTGGGAGGAGAGGGAGGCCGAGCGAGAACCTGCGAGGAGTCGCGCTCACAGCCAGCCGTCTGGGGTGGTTGGTTTAATCCGCACCCGGGGACATTTTTCCATTTGTTGTTCAGATAGAGTGGGAGGGAGGGAGAGAGACATCGATGTGAAAGGGACACATCGAGTGGTTGCCTCCTGCATGACCCCGAACTGGGCCAGGGACAAACTGCAACTGAGGTACGTGCCCTGACCCGAATCGAACCCAAGACTCTGTGGTCCTCGGGCCAATGCTCCAACTGCTGAGCCAAACCAGCCAGGGCTGAAGTTCTTTTTACTAGTGGGAATGTTTCTATTAACTGAAGAATCCTTCAATTTTGGCTGTAGTTTCTGTTTTGTTTTTTTTAATCCTCACCTGAGGACATTTTTTCATTTTTTGTTCAGATAGAGTGGGAGGGAGAGAGAGAGAGAGAGAGAGAGAGAGAGAGAAACATCGATGTGAAAGGGACACATCAAGTGGCTGCCACCCACACGACCAACCAGGGCCGGGGACAAACTGCAACCGAGGTACGTGCCCTTAGCGGGAACCAAATCCCGGTCTCTCTGGACCGCAGGCCGACGCTCTCACTGCCGAGCCAAACCGGCGGGGGCTTGTTTTGTTTTTTAACTTTTCATGTTGAGATAACTACAGATTCCCAGGAAGTCGCAGTAGTGCCCTTCACCCGGCTCCCCCACTGTTACGTCTCACAGACAGTGTCGCAGCCAGGAAACGGACGTCCACACAGTGTGGGGGGGGGGTGGTTCGTTGTCACTGGACAGCATTGCTGTAACCACCTCCACAGCCAACACCCAGAGCACTCCCACCCCCAAGATCCTCCTCCAGCTGCCTTTCATGCCCCCCCCCTCCGCCAACCCTACCCCTGCCCACCAGGCTGCCCTCCTCTCTCTAACACATTTCAACAACGTCCCGCATGCGCAGTCACAGGGCAGGGCCTGCTGCGACGGCCTTCTCCGCCCCGCCAGCACCCCCGAGGTTTGTCCCCTCCTGGCTGAGCAGCACCCCACCTACGGCTTGCTTCCCATAACACTTTTGTTCGGATTATAAAGGCAGCGTGAGCTCGAAACGTTGCCATTGCAAAAAAAAATAATAATGATGAGTGACAATAAAACGATCAACCTCACCAGCCTCGAAGACAAATACATTAAAACAATGAGATACTGCCTGGCCGGTGTGGCTCCGTGGTTGAGCGTCGACCCTGCACCAAGAGGTTGCTGGTTCGATTCCCGGTCAGGGCCCAGGCCCAGGTTGTGGGCCCGATCCCCAGTGGGGGGCATGCAGGAGGCGGCCAGTCGATGTTCTCTCTCATCGATGTGTCTCTCTCCCTCTCCCTCTTCCTTCCTCTCTCTCTAAAATCAACAGAGGAAAAAAAAAAATTTTTTTTTAAAAGAAGGGACTCCAATATCCAAAAGGGAGCGAGGAGGCCAGGGCGAGACAGAATCGGAACCACGGTGCCACAGGACACTGGCCAGCCATCGGGTATATGCTGTTTTTTAGGTGTGTTTTGTTTTTGTTCTGCTTGTCAAAGATTCACGTGTGACCTTGCCCACGCCCCAGCGGGAGAAACCAGGCCCCCCGCATCGCCTGGCGGTGGGAAAAAGGACGCGGTGTGAAGGGCCAGGAAAATGACAGGCGTGGTCGCCCGACTCACTTGCGACATAAACAGCAACTTTGTCGTTCTCTTTGTGCCGTAGGAGGTTCTCCGCGTAGTTCAGACGACTGCCTTTGAACCACTCGGGGACGTCGGCCACCCCTTTGGATGTGTCCACAACCTGCAGAGGACAGTGAGCCACACACTCGCACGTGAGACCTACACCACGAGTGAGAACCCGACTCCGCCTCCCGGGAAGCCCAGAGCCTCCGTCCCTCAGTGTATAGACTGAGCCCTGAACCCACTGAGATAGAAAGCGATGCCTCGGGGGTTGAAATACTCGAAAATACTGGGTGTTGGACACGCGCAAGCTTAAAAAAAAGTGAACCGTGTGAAATGATGGGCGTGGCAGTTCCACAAAGCACATCAAATCACCACGAGCTGCGCCTGAGATCCGCCGACTGTGTGTCAATCATTCCTCAATGAAGGTGTTTTTATTTTTTTATTTTTTTATTTTATTTTATTCTTTTTATCCTCACCCGAGGACACTTTTCCATTTTTTGTTCAGATAGAGCGGGAGGGAGAGAGAGGAAGAGAGAGAGAGAGAAACATCGACGTGAAGGGACACATCGAGTGGCTGCCACCCGCACGACCAACCAGGGCCAGGGACAAACTGCAACCGAGGTACATGCCCTTAGCGGGAACCGAACCCGGGTCTCTCTGTACCGCAGGCCGACGCTCCAACCGCTGAGCCAAACTGGCCGGGGCAATGAAGGTGTTTTTAAATGTGCTTCCACTGATTTATTAGAGAGGAAGGGAAAGAGAGAGAGAAACACCGATCGGCTGCCTCCTACACGCCCCCACGGGGATGGAACCGCAACCCGGGCGTGTCCCGACTGGGAATCCAACCAGGACCTCTCAGTTTATGGGGCGATGCCCACCAGGTGGGCTCCTCAATAAAGTTTTAAAAGTGAATGCCACGGGGACACCTTCCTTGAGGATCTATTTTCCAACAAGTATGTCTCAAACACGTGACTGAGGAGGGACGCTGAGGGCTGACGGCGACACCACAGGCAGGGCCCCTGCCGCACGCCCCAGGCCAGACTGGACCTGAGAACACTGCAGAGCAGGCTCCGGGGCCCCTTGCCCCTCCGTAGTCCGACCCGGCCTCAGGGGCTAGAGCCCTGCTTTCCTTCTGCAAGTGTCCACCATAAATAAACTATACTTTGAATGCCAGGACTCCCTCTCCCCAGATGCTTACCGATTTATAGCATCGAGTTGAAAAAAATCTCTAAAATCCAAGTTAAAGGAAACAATGAGCCCTGGCTGGTCTGGCTCAGTGGTTAGAGCGCAGGCAGCAGACCCAAGGGCTGCAGGTTGGATCCTGGTCAAGGGCATGTACCTGGGTTCAAGTTTGCCCCCTGCCCCAGTCAGGGTCATTCAGGAGGCGGCCGATCAATGTCTCTCTCTCTCTGTCCCCCGCCCTCCCTCCCTTCCACTCTATAAGAAAATCAGAGGACAATACCCTCAGGTGAGGATTAACAACAATAACAAAAAAGAATGAAACCAGTGCTAGTTTAAAAAAACAATAACGCAGCCCTGGCCAGTGTGGCTCCGTTGGTGGATAATCCCGTATACCAGTCAGGGCACACACCTAGGTTTTGGGTTCGATCCCCAGTCTGGGCATGTTTGGGAGGCAACCGATCAGCATTTCCCTCATGCTAATGTTTCTCTCTCTCTCTAAAATCAATGAGAATATGTCCTCACCCGAGGATTAAAAAAGACTAAAAAACGATAATGTGAATGTACTCAATACCACTGAACTGCTCGCTTTGAAGTGGTTAAGATGGAAAATTTTAGGTTATGTGTATTTTACCACAATTTTACAACTTTTTTTTTTTTGTACGTGCCCCTAGCGGGAACCGAACCCGGGACTCTCTGGTCCGCAGGCCAACACTCCAACCACTGAGCCAAACCGGCCAAGGCCAATTTTACAACTTTTTAAAATAAAAATAAAACAATGCCCAACTACTTCGGATCAGGACAGGGCCCCATCTCCATGGGGTCCGTGACCCTAACACAGTTTTCCGCCAGCTCTCTGGGGCAATGACGTGTCCCCACCGATGTGAGGTTATGAAGGAAGAAATGAGGTGGTGTTCCCTAAAACTGACACTTCGTTCTGGAACATAACCATAGAAACGGTAACACATAACGAGATCTCCACTGACCTCATCATACATGCGTGAAGAGACGATGCCGCTGAATTTCCAGAATTCGGCCCAGAATTCGGAGTAGGACTCGACCGACCACTGGTACAGGTCACTGTAATTTCCTACAAGTGAAATGAAGTGGCTCAGGGCTCAGGTGAACCTCAGGAGGAGGTTTACCTGAGCAGTTTGGTAATAAGGTGGACACACCCGAGGGTACGTCTGAGCAGGTCACAGGCATCCGATGGGTCATGGTCAGCAGGGAGGGGACCATAAGTTTTTAGTGAGACGCCCCACCCCGCCAGCCCCAAAGGGAACAAGGCAATGAGGCAGGGACTGCGGCCTCAGCCAGCCTCAGAACAGGGGCCCTGGAGCCTCCAGGCCTGGGGTTGCATCCTGGCTTGGCCATCATTGGCTGTGCGGCCCCAGGCAAGTTACTTCAGCCCGCGCTGTGCCTCAGTTTCCCCCTCTGAAAAACAGATGATAAATAGCACCTTCTCGTCACGGGGCTCCGGTGAGGGTGTCAATGATCACGTGTATAGAAGGCTTAGAACAGGGCCTGACCACACTCAGAACTACGTGAAGACTTTGCCGTTGTGCCACACGGACCCGGGAAACCCGGACGAGCTGGTGGCCTCTCGCGCCAGCACAATGTTGGGGGGTGACCTAGTTATTTCAACCTCTGAGAAAGCACGTGACATGCTGGGCTCTCAGCCCCGAAGGAGGTGGAGGTGACTCCTCTCCTCCCCCAGGTGCCACCTTCGCCTTCCTCTCTCCTAAGCTCCAAGGGCCCTTCTTCTGCTTCTGTAACTTGTCTCCTGAGCCCACACAGCCCAGCCGGCTCACTTCTACGTCTGTAACTTTCCACATAAACTTTCTCTGATAATTCGGAAAAGAGCAGGCAGGTGGGCCAGGCCCAGGGCATCCCTGGAGAGGGCACCACCACCCCCCTCCGGAAACCGAGAGACCACAGGCCCTGCGCCCTCTCTCCGGGTCTTTCTGTAATCGCCGAGGTCCTCAGAAGCCACAGAGCATTCCAGCAGATGCCCTCCCAGCGGACAGAAGCGGTTCTTCGGGCGTCTGCTCGCCCGCTCCCACCTCCGCTCAGAGGCTGCGACCGGGGAGCCCCGAGGGACAACCAACCACAAGCTCGTTTGGTTCAGTTCCCACATGTTCATAAAGAACCTGAATTCACGGGCTCCGACTGGTGTGGCTCAGTGGCTGAGCATCGACCCTGCACCAAGAGGTCGCCAGTTCGATTCCCAGTCAGGGCACCTGCCCAGGCTGTGGCCCTGATCCCCAGTGGGGGGCGTGCAGGAGGCGGCCAATCGATGTTCTCTCTCATTGATGTTGCTGTCTCTCTCTCCCTCTCACTTCCTCTCTCTCTAAAATCAATAAAGAAAAAAAAAATTTAAAAAAAAAACAAAAAAACACCTCAATTCCTGGCCAACATGAAAATCATGGGGATTTTTGTTTGCAAATGACATTTGGAGTTTCTGGCTCCTCGTGAGAAAAGACTCTCGGCTGGGGTGGCCAGCCAGTGATTCCCACCTCCTGGCCTTCAGGTCCCTGTGCTGTCCCCTCCCCACCTGACCTGTGTAGCCGACAGGACGTTCAGGAAATGAGTGTGTGGGACCCGGGGCTGGGTCATCAGAGACCCTGTACCTGCTCTGCCAGAAGCTGGCGGCCACGTGTGGGGACACTCGGACAGTCCTCGGTGGCACTCCTGCCCACAGCCTGCACGGACCCACTGCCCTGTGAGCAAGCCCCCTGGCTCCTCCAGCCCCTCCCCCAAGCCGTCAGATAACAGCGGCATCCTGACACCCAGGGCCCCTGCCAGAGCGGAGCCAAGGGAGCTGAGGGACACTGAACATTTACTGCTGGTTTTGTCGCTGCGTCTTGGGGCGATTTGTTACGTGCAAACATAAAGCAAATGCACTGCCACACCAGAGTGACAATCAGCTAGCGCAGGGTACCAGCTGCCCTGCAGGGCCCCTACCCTGCGGCGGAGGCAGCCTCCCACAGTAGCTGAGAGCGCTGGTTCTAGAAACAGGCTCAGCGCCAGTCCCCACAGCTGTGAGATCTCAGCTTGTTTCAGCTGCTGACCAATGCTGAGGATCAGGTGAGTTAACACGTGCAAAGTGCCCGACAGGGGCCAGGCGTGTGGCAACTGCCCATCTGAGTTAACTGGCATGAATACCTGTCACCTGCCAGGCCCTGCAGGCAACTGCCTTTGCAAGCCCTGCTCCCACCCACCCCTGTTCCTCACCCCGGGGGGGTTTTGACCAGCCTGCACCTTCAAGTCAGCTCAAGACTTCGTGGGCCCTGTGGGACAGCAGACCTGGGCACCAGGAGGTAACAGAGGGTGGAGGGCGCTGCCCCTACACTGACACACTGGAGCGTGGCTATTTTTACATCCACTCTCTCCCCCGCAACTGCACTTGAGCTACGAGAAGGGGACCGGCTGGCACTACGCCCGCCGCTCTCCCATTGGTGGTGCGCACAGAAAGGCACTTGGCACAGTCCCTCAAAAGCGCATGTACCCCAAAGCGGTATCACTCCCCTATTTAGAGGGCTGTACCACTGCACGTCCGTGGGGGCTTGAGAAAGAGCCTCGAATTACATGCACAGCTCAGCTCCGGAGGAGGCTGGCCTGGGCCTGCAGGGAGCCTCGGGTGAGCTCTGCTCGCAGCAGTGACAAGAACCAACGGACACGGCCCTGGTGGTGGAAGGGAGACGCTGCCCCTCCTGAATTTCCAGGGTTGGGGCAGATGGGCTGGTGCGGGGACAGCCAGGCTGGGCAACCCTGCCCCCGGCCATCCTCAGGGCAGGAGCGAGGCTGAGGCCCGCCCGTGAGGACATGCTCGGTCCTCTCTCTGCACCTCTGGTCCACGGCGCTGCTCAGTGCTGTGCACCTGCTACTCACAGCACTGCTGGGGCACAGAGGGCATGCGGTCAAGGGTGCTGGCACTAAGCAGTAAGAAGGCTCACGAATAAATGAAAAAGCGGGATGCACATCCAAACCGCGTGCACTTGGAGAGTAGAGGGAAGAGGAAATGGGCCGAGGAGGCAGCATCTGGGGCTGGGTCTCAACACGAAGCCCAAAACCTCCAGGGACAGGCCTGTGGAAAGGAGGGAGCGGTGGGGTCAGCCATCAGGAGTCAAGAGGAGAAAAGGCCAATGTCAAGCTCTCAACACCCCCCACATCCAGGAAGAAACCCCACTTGGCTCAGCCGATGGCCGCCACCGAGGCACAAAGACCCAGCATCACAGGCCTTTGGGTTTTCCCAAGAAATTGGAAATCTTGCTTTTCATATGCTATCTCCAGCGTGGCAGCCACCTGAACCAAGTCTGCAGGTCCAACCCAGCCCACGGGCCAGCAGTCCACAAATGTTGAAGGACAGACAGGAGTTCAGCAAGCAGACCAGGAGGTACAAGTGTTTGCTGGTGTTTACACAGCAACCCCACGGGGCCTGATCACCTCCTGGCACCCTCACACCTACCAGTGACACAGGTAGCCCATTTTACAGATGAGGAAACTAAGGCTTGGGGCGACCCAGAAACGTCCACCCGATCACCCAGCTGTAAGTGATGGAGCCAGTCCCAAACCCAGGTAGTCAGATGACTTCTGGGTCTCGCACACCTGACAGGGCTGCCCTTAAGTGAAATAATTTGGGAAGGCATCAGGGCTAGACAAGCACCCGGAGACCAGTATTATACTGTCGCTGGCAGAGGAAAGACATGGACGCCAGGCAAAATAACACGGAAGCAGAATGTGGGCCCACTCCCAGCCCTACTTGGAAATCAAGTCTGTCCCCCCCCCCCAATCCAACACACGTTAATTTATCAGCTACCACCTGGAGGCCGGAGAGTTGTAAGAGAGGAATAAGACCGGCCTGTCTCCAGCAGCTGGAGGGATGGAGCTGGGTGAGGGGCTGGGTGGCTGGCAGCTCTGGAGGGCCTGGAAGCTCCCGATGCACCATGAGCAAATGCACGGTCAGCAAGGAGCTACTGTGAGCTCTGAGCCAAGGAGGGACAAGTCAGACCGGCCGTCAATTCTGCTCCGGCAAAGCAGGAAGCTGACAGGCCAGCTCATGTTTGGGGAAGAGACAACCAGGGCCCCGGAGAGGTGCTGCCGGCACCGCGGCCGAGGGGGATGGAAGGAGGCGGTGCGGCCGAGGGGGACACCCTGTGCAAGCCACAGGACAGGTCACCCTTCCTGTGCGGCTGCCTGAGAAGAGTGAGGACACCCACTGAGTCACAGCCCCTGCGGCCAGCTGCGGGGAGCGAGGGGAGGAAGTCCTGGTGAGCTGAAAACCCCGCAGGGAGGAGGGAGGTGAAGCCGGAGGTCCGGCAGGTGATCAGACCAGCCAGCAAGGGTTGAGGGGACGCACAAGCAAGCGCTTCTCAGAAGGGGGGGGCTCCTCTGCCCAACCCACACCCCGCCAGGTGGTTCCCGAGACGGGTGCTGGCTGATGAGCCCCAACCCCAAAGGCAGGCTCCCTCCTCACCACCCTCCTGGGCCCTAAAATCCCGCGCTGGCCTTCTAACAGGGTCAACCTGGGGGTCGGGGGGTAACGGGACAGTACAAGGCTAGCAAGCGACCCCACACACAGCCGGGAAGAGCTTCAAGGCAGAAAGACCCGAGTGGAAGAGGAGGCCTCAGGCTGGAGCAAGACCCCCCTCACGAGCAGGAGCCTCCTGAGCAAGGGACCTCTCGGTGCACAGGGGTTCCCAGGCCAGAACGGGGACCCTCCCAGGGCGAGGGCGCCCCACCCGCAGGGAGATGCTGCAGGCAGAAGTCCAGCACCCTCAAAGTGGGGAGGTGACGCCCCGCACAGACGAGGGGCAGCCCCCACAGCCCGAGGTGCCCCGCCCCCTGAAGAGGGACCCACGTTCAGCTGCTGTGCAAACCCCAGGACAGGGAAACTGGACATCGGGAGGCCCTTCCAACACTTGGAGGGGCTCTGAGAGCAGCGCCAGGGAAAAGGGGCGCGGCGGGCCCCTGGGAGCCGGGCGGGGAGACCGGCCCGCCGAGCGCACTCACCCAGCGCCAGGCCGCAGGCGGCGCTCACGGCCGCCCGGAAGCGGTCCATCTGCGTGTTCCTCTTGCTGTCGGGCTCCCACATCACCTGGCACTCCAGGATCTCGTCCCGCCCGGCCCGCGGCTGCTTGGACATGGCTGGGGCGCGGGCCGAAGGCGGGGGCGCGGGCCGAAGGCTGGGGAGTGAAGGCAGCGGCTGGGGCGCGGGCGGCGGGAGCACGACTGAGCCGCCGCGGCCACCCACCACGAGGCACCCAGCGAACCCGCCCACCGGGCCCCGCCCTCGGAAGCCCCGCCCCTCGGAGGCCCCGCCCCCTCGGCATGTAACCCTCCGCGGGTGCGGCCCTCGCAAAGGAGTGCAAGTCACCGCGCCTGCGCCATCCCACCGGACCTGCGCACACGCGGCCGGTGGGGAGCGCACGCGCGTTGCGCCCCGGCCCTCTGCGCTCACCTGGGGCAGCAGGCGGCTAGAGCATCCCCGAGAGCCAGGAGCCGCTGGCTCAATCCGGTGTTCATCCCCTCTTTTTGTGTCACTATTTTTATCACTCTTGATGTTTTTACTTTCTTGGCTTTTAACTCCTAATAAGAGAATTCCCACTGAATAGTATGAAAGTTTTTTTTATTATTCTTTATTGATTTTAGAATGAGAGGAAGAGATGGAAACATGATGAGAGAGAACACCGATTGGGCGCCTCCTGCATCCTCCCACTGGGGATCGAGCCCACAGCGTGGACACGTGCCCTGACCAGGAATAGCACCAGGGACGTCTTGGTGCAGGGGCGGCTCCACCGCTGAGCCACACCTGCCGGACACATGTTCATTTTTATTTTTTTATCCTCACCCAAGGACATTTTTCCTTTTTTTTTTTTTGTACAGATAGAGAGGGAGAGAGAGAGAGAGAGAGAGAAACATCCACGTGAAAGGGACACATCGAGTGGCTGCCACCCGCACGACCAACCAGGGCCGGGGACAAACTGCAACCGAGGCACATGCCCTTAGCGGGAACCGAACCCGGGTCTCTCCAGACCGCAGGCCGACGCTCTAACCGCTGAGCCAAACCGGCCAGGGCACATGTTCATTTTTGATGGAAGCATTCAGAAGGACACCAGGTATATGCCACACTCCTGATCCGAGCTTCCCCGTCCTATTCCAGTGCTTTGAGACTTTTTTTAAAAGAATGTAGAAATTTGCCAGGCCAGCCAACTACATGGACACTTTCATGGGAGAATGGACCTCCGGGTCATTTCTGGAATTTGCCTTGCTCGCCCCTCCCTGGATAAGCCCACCCATGTTTCTTTTTCTTTCTCCCACTGTGGCATGTGCTACATTTTCCACGTTTCGAAGTCCTCGCTATTGTTCAGGTGACCATTAACCAATACAGTAAATTATGAGAACATTAGGTCCCCTGGAGTATGTTGAAAGTATTTGGAAATAGCAAGGAGGGTTCCCAGAAAGACCCACGCCACTGGCTTGGAAAAAGGGGCAGCAGCCTGAGGAGGTAGAAGCCAGGTTTATGTCTGAGGAGTCCTCGGACGATGTGACACTCATCTTTCTCTTCTCTTCTCAAAGTGTGCTGTTTCTCTGTACACATAGGAACAGATGTCACCCTGCTGAGACACGGCTGGGGGGGGAAAGCGTGTGTGTGTGTGTGTGTGTTGGGGGGAGAGCTGGCAGAGGCTAGCTCAGTGCAGATGGGGGCAGCCCTCCGCTCCACCTTCCGAATGTCTCCTGGAGGGTGGTGCCCAACCCTGGGGACTGTATCCTCCGTTGATTTATAGAAAGTTTCATCATAAGCTTATATGGCCATATTTTTAATTGAGCATTTTATAATAAAATGAGGTGAGGCTTTTTTTTTTTTTTTTTTATCCTCATCCGAGGACATTTTTCCATATTTCATTCAGATAGAGTGAGAGGGCCCTGGCCGGTTTGGCTCAGCGGTTAGAGCAGCGGCCTGCGGTCCGGACAGATAGAGTGAGAGGGAGAGAGAGAGAGAGAAACATCGACGTGAAAGCGACACATCGAGTGGTTGCCACCCACACGACCCAACCAGGGCTGGGGACAAACTGCAACCAAGGTACATGCCCTTAGCGGGAACCGAACCCGGGTCTCTCCGGACCGCAGTCCGACGCTCTAACCGCTGAGCCAAACCGGCCAGGGCGAGGTGAGGCTTTTTTTTATTGTATTGAATATGCCCTAATGTGAGAAAATAAAGTACATTTTTATTTATCTTAGTGGTTCATGCATGCCAAATCTGAGCAAAATTGCTTTTCTTTTTTTTTTTTAATTCTCAACATTTTTTCATATTTTGTTCAGATAGAGCAGGAGGGAGAGAGAGGAAGAGAGAAATATCGATGTGAAAGGGACACATCGAGTGGCTGCCACCCACACAACCCAACCAGGGCCGGGGACAAACTGCAGCCGAGGCACATGCTCTTAGCGGGAACTGAACCTGGGACTCTCTGGTCTGCAGGTGATACTCTAACCGCTGAGCCAAACCGGCCAGGGCTGATTATTATTATTATTATTATTATTATTTTAATAAAATGTATTCTTTGAGCCCTGGTGGTTTGGCTCAGCGGTTAGGACATTCAACTGAAGACTGAAGGGTCTTGAGTTTGATTCCTGGTCAAGGGCACATACCTCGGTTGGAGTTCATCCTCGGCCCTGGTCGAGGGGTCATGCAGGACACAGCCAGTCGAGGTGTCCCTCTCACGTCGATGTTCCCCCCCCCCATCTGAAGATAAATAGAAAAATGAACTTGGGTGATGATTAAATAAATAAATAAATAACTAGTGTCAGTAAATTTCACCTCTTCAGTTCGTTCCAAAATCCGAACATTTCCGCCCAAGCTAAACTTTACCCTTGGGAGAAATGTCCAAGCCGGAGAAAGATGAGAGCAGGGGGGGCAGTTATTAAAGGAGGCTCTGGGGCCTCCTTGCTGTTTGCCTCCTGGGGCAGAGCTGGGGTGAGCTCCAGCAACCCTGTCTGCCATTGTTGTTAAGTGGGCGGAGTGCCACTGAACACACATCATTTCTCTGGCAATGGTGAGGACTGGGTACAGATGAGGTTGCGGGGGTCGGGGAGTGTCTGCCAATCAAGTGCATTAAAGGAATCTGGGCACCCACACCCCTTGGAAATTCTTTGTATACCCCTCAGGGATCAATATGCCCCAATTTAAAGACCCACTAATCTAAGCCAATCTCAGAGCTCCCTTTTCTCCCTTGCCAGTGATTGGCCGGGGGCACTCATGAGACCAAATTCTAGCCAATGAGACCAAAGGGGAGTGTGATTGGGGTGGGGGGCAGCTCTGGAACATTTTTGTTTCCCCTCTGGTGAGCAAGGTCCCTCTACAGGGAGCTGTGACAGACATGTCTTGACCCTGAGAAACAACCGGGAAGAAAACCCATGAACAGGACGTGGGGCAGCAGAAGGAAAGACTAGACCCTCCCGCTGAGCTGCCAGAGCAGGCTCGTGACTGGCACTGGGCTTCTGGTGAATAACCTGCCGAAAGCATTCCAACTAAAACCCCCACCAAAGGTCATTTCCCTTGCGCTTCCCCCCACCCCACACCTGGGGGCTTCTCTTCCCTTTGGTACATTCATCACCCAAGTGGGATGGCCTAGACCTCCTGATCTGAAGCTGTAAAGCTATCAGTAATAACTAGGGAGGGTGAGGTCCCCAAGCCAGGACCCCTGTATCAGCTCCTGTGTCTCAGGGTTCCACAGGCCAGGGAGGACAAGAACTGGAGACTCTTCACCTAAAGAAAGTGAAGCCTTCAGCCCGATGCTGATCTCTAGGAAGAACCTTCCAGCCAGATGGCATAGGCAGTGCAAAGGCCCTGAGGCACATTTTTAGGGAGGGGCACAGTCAAATGATATTGGCTATACTGTTATAGGGCCTTGGGAGGTCACGGGTAAAGACTTTGGATGTTATTCAAAATATGATTAGAAGCCATGTGGGAAGTTTTAAGTGGGAGAGTGATGTAACTTACCTTTTGAAAGGATTATTCTAGCCGCTATAAGGTCATTGAGTGGGGTTGGGTTTGGGGTGGATTGGGTGCAATCAGGGAGACCTGTTAGGGGGATTTTGTAAAAGTCCCTATGGGGCATCACGGTGGCTTGGACAAGGGTGGAAGGTGTGGATGATGAGAAGAGGGAGGGAGGGAGGGATGGATGGATGGATGGATGGATGGATGGATGGATGGATCTTTAAACATCTATATATACATAGAGACACTTTGGAAGGCAGAACCAAGGGAAAGCAGCTGCTAGGTTAGAGAAGCAGCCTTGGAGCCCAGACGAGATAAGAACAAGTCCCAGCATCAAATGGATTTCCCGAGGAGTAGTGAAGTGGGGCTCCTGGGAAAGGAGAGAGGAGAACAGAATGGCCGCCACCGCTCCAGGCCAGCAGCTGCTGGTACAACAGGCTGTCCCTGCCCGGCATGGGGAGAGGAACACGTCATTCCAGTCAAGCACCTGCAAGTTCCCTGAGTTTTTCAGGTGAAAGTGTTATTCAAGGATTTCTTTTTCTGGTCTCTATAACATGATTGCTCAACCATCAGGGCTGTGACAGTGGGGTGAACGCCAGGCACCACGGGCCAGAAGGGCCTGGAGTGACGTCTCAAAGTTCAACCTTCCCACCCACAAGAAGAAAGAAGAGGAGAGAATGTGGCCACGTTACCCAGTATCTTCAAGCAGGAATAGGGATGAGTAAATGGTGAGGAGTCACCTGATGGAATACTATATAGCAGTGAAAAGGGATGCTCTAAAGGTGAACCAGCATGATGACTCTCAAAACCATACTGTGGAGCGAAAAAAAAGGGCAAGCCACAGAAACATACCAACTATATGTTTCCTTTCACAGAAAGTCAGAACCAGGCAAAACCCAAAATAATTTATTTAGGGATACATACATATTAGAAAAATTTAGAGAGGAGCAAATAGATAGTTCACAACTTTCAGGACACTGGTTTCTTCAAAGAGAAGTAAAAGGGATGAACTCAGGGACGGGCTTCCAAGGTCCTGGTCATGGCCTATTAAACTGGTCATAAGTACATGGTGTGCATTTATATTATCTTCTAAACTGGACACACATACTATATTTAGTCTTTTTGTATGCTTCATACATTTCACAATTTAAGAACATAAATAAAAGCAGGTGACATTAATAACTGTTTTACTTCACCACGGGATGCTCTGTAAGGATCTC